TTACTATAATAGTAGCACAATGCCACTAATATTTGACTTACAAACAAAATACGGGCAGGAATTTCAAAATTGCAATCCTGTTAGTGTGAGATATTTTACTTTTATCAGTATTTTTCTTTCAATCAGACTATGTTGAAATAAAAGTGAATTTGTTATTAAAACTAAACTTCTCAAAACTTATTTTTTTTAACAGGCACGCTACTAAAAGTATCGCTAGAAAATAATCGATTGTACTTGTACTCAAAAGTACTCTGACTAAACGTTTCATTCGATAGCCGTTTACAATATGGGTCTTCACACCCATTTCGATAATTTCGTAAACTACTAAATAAAAATTCGCTTCTGCAATTTGTTTTTGGATAACTTTCACGCTTTCACTGTAAATACAGTTTGAAGTTGAAAATTTGGGTTTTTGTGGCATTTACATAGGTATGTAGCTCGTTCTATTTTCAAAAGTGAGGGGTCAAATGACACATAGAAGGGTTGCCGAGTGTTTAAAAAAATCAAATTCGCTTTAATTAAGGGAAAAAGGTAATTGAAATATGTATATCAATATGGGTATCAGAAAAAAGAAAAAATTGGATATATTAATCAAGAAATAAGTGAAGAGTAAAAACATACCTGGATTAATTTAAGAGTCCAGTAATTTAAAAGGAATGTAATCGGAACAAATCAATGATTGACAATGTATGTATTTGTAACAAATACGATGTCTTAAACCTTTGGCTTGACACAATTATTATTTTAGTTTAACTAAATTTGACTTTACAAATAGGTGGCAACCCTCTTCGTAATACTTTCAAGTTAAAACTTTCTTAAACCACTTTCTTTTGACTCTAATAATAATTCCAATGGAATTTGATCTTTTTAACAGGTGGCAGCCCAGACATGTACTTAAGAAATAAACCCTTTTCGTACACATTTCGATTGATACCCATCTCTTAATAATGCATTTAGCTAATTGAAAAATTTGAATTTAATTTTCTAACTGGTGACAACTCTTTAAAAATAAATAAACCTCTATTGGCTACAGGTTATGCCTTTTAATCTGACACTTCATTTTTGAAAATAGAACGAATTGTGCAGATCTGTTGTTTAATTTTATTCTAAAATTTTTATTCGTGGAGCTCTACTATCAATATGGAATTAAAAAACATCAAACCAACATATTATTTTAAAGACTGTATTTTTGACATTTGTTTCCGTGAAGAGCTTACGCATGGATATGCTCTTATTCATATTCTTAGCATAAAGCAGACCCGGCGAACTTCGTCTCACTCAAAATAAGTTTTTTGTATTAAAATATTTCGGTCCAACATTTTCACCAACAGTTGGTGGTTGTCAGAAGGCATTTTTCCTTTGTCGTCTTAAATAACCCAACAGGGTTGTACATATATGCATACAAAGATAGGTAATAGTTTCAGTGCGTTTGGAAGGCGCAACACCCCCTTATCACATGGCTCCAATTTTCTCTAAGAGTATGGAAATGATTTCATATATCTCCATACCATATTCGAGTATTCTACCATGAACACTTCCAGAGATATGCAATAATAATAATTATAATGAAGTACAAAAAGTACTAAGTACTTGGTAGAGGTACTCGAGTATATACCTTTAAGTACCGGTATCGGAACATCCCTGGTTGGACTTAAGTTATTTTATAACTTGAAGTCTCGATGGTTTGAACTTTTTTTTTTTAAATAGCCATTCTAGTTGTATTCTAATTTGACGTTGAGGGAATTGCCCACGGCTAAATGAATTTTACTCCCCTTTACTTCGTTGTTGTTGATTCACTTTTCGGCAACTATTGTTATGTTAGCGACTAAGTATTGCCATTTAGCTTAGGAATTTAAAAGAAATGTTCATTTTTCGTTCTTGTTGCACATAAAGAAATCACTGCGATGCGAAATTTTCATTGAGAATGCTGTTGAATCGGTTCAATGCAAAGATGCTGTAGCGGAAGGCAGCGAGTGAGTGCTATGATGTTTGTTTTCATCATTTTTTTCCTCTAGTTTTAGTACTAAATTGAGTGTGGATGTTGTTTAACTTTGTGCTTTTAAATGTGCGTATGTGTGCGAAATTTGCCGTATCGACATCAACTTCCCATTCCACTACCGCTACCACTCTTTTTCCATTAGCGAAATTGTTTGCTCGCACTGGTTTGCGGCTTATGTTGGGCTTAGTGCTGTTTGCAGCAACAACCAGCGTGCAAAATGTAGCATGCAACATATCAGATCCAAATGCTTGTGAAACCGTAAAATAGCGAGTTCATTCTGTGGCATCAACGAGCTGCGGAAATGCGGAGTAGCCAGCGTGAATCTTTTATTAAAATGTTTAAAGCTGTTGTGTTTCTTGTTTTTGCGAAACAAATCGATAGCTTAGCAAAGCTTTAACAGAGTTGCACAGCTTAATAATCGCACGCTTCAACTGAAACACTGTTAATATGTAGGATTTTTGTGAGAATCTAGTATACATTAAGTGATATGCGTTTAATTTTCAGCGATATTCATGCAGACTTGATGCTTGCAACAACAAAAGTGTGTTGGAAAAGTTAGCCTAAAACGACACATATACAAAAGGCAACTAGTATTTGGATTTAGTAAAAATGGGTTTCATTGTAATAAAAAGAAATTTTGTTTTTCATGTCAAGGACACGATTTAATTACTTCTTAAGATTACTTATGCCCTTCAATGTGAACTTCATTGTAACCGAAACACATATTCCAACATTTGATCTAATCTTAAAATCATTGATTTCTGTTTCGTATTTAGCTTCAGCATCTTATGCGAATTCTTTTTTACGGTCTTCAGTCATAAGAATAGAAAACGTTCAGCTACATACGAGTACTGTTCCGTAAGCTAACTATTTATCTGTTGTTGTTTCGGTTGAACGTTGTTTTGTTCAATAATTTTACCCAACTCGGATATGAAAGTGATGGTTTCCTTTGCAAGCTTATCGGGTCGAAAGGCCCGTTAAACAGAACTACTGGTACGATGAGGAGTGTCAAGAAGTTGCAGAGATAGGGCGCAACGCGAGTCATTCGGGGCCGTTATAGGGATCGATGGGGGAGCGAGACTTATTATGCGCTATAAGAAGAGCTAGGTCGTCTGGTATACTGACAGCTGCAAGACTGACCACGGCTTCGGAGCAGGAGTTTACGGCATACAACCGAGACGGCTCCTTTTCCCCAATATGGGGCAAGGTAACTTTGTCTTTCAGGCCGAGGTGCAGGCCATTAAACTACGTCTGAAGTAAAAAGTATGTAGAAAGTGGGGGGCAACCAAAATACACATTTACATACACTTGGAGAGAATGGTGGTGCTCTTCGCCGCATACAACCGTAGAACTCGCATCACCTCAGTAGGCATGCAGCAAGCACTGTTACAGGACTTCTTACTGGCCACTGTAGAGTACTGAAACACTTGTTAAACATAGGAGTTGTCACAGTAGAGCACATTTTGTGCCACTGTGAAGTGCTTCTAAGACCAGACTTCGCTTCGTAGGATCACCACACCTCGAAGCACGCGACCTAAATGGCACTCAGAAAGGACTTCGCGTGGTTCTAGTAGTACGTGGATTAAAGAAGACCCGTAGTCGAATAGAGGTTTGTTACATTGCGTTTCGGATGCAATAACTAGGTGACCTGCTCTCTCCTCTTCCAAGACTAGGGAAAACTCCTTTTAGAACAACGATGGCGACCTAGTCACCGATGTCCAGAACGTCTTTAATTATCGAGAACACTTGTCCACCCTTTTGAATGACAGCTGCACTGAAAGTAGTCGAGAAGTCGGACCCGTGCACCCAGTCGTTGATGACGGATTCGATGTGCTGATATGGTTTTATGTCTATTTCAAACATCTTCGATAGAACATTCAGTTGGATATAATGAGATAAACTTAGATAGATTTATGTGGGCGGCATCACGTCCATTTTCCAAAATTCCATTACTATGTTACTTCTTCTCAATGGATTGCTCTTAGTATAAATTTTAGGTAAATTACCATCCTTTAATTTCGAAATATCAAAGTTTCAAGCATTTCTGAAATTTAGCGTTACAGAAAAGTGGACGTAATTTTAGTCTGATTTCAATAATTTTCAACGTTTTACCTTTATGTGGCAAGCTCCGAGTTTGGTACAAATTGATCGAACGGTTACTGTGATACACATATTAGGTCATAAGTGGGCGGGGTCACGCCCATTTTCCTAAAATTTATAATATTTTTATTTTTCGTCAAAAATTTTTTGTAAATATCAATTTAGAGTAAAAAGGCTTCAGTAGTTAGTAAAATATCGCAGTTTTCGTACATAGGTTAACTACCGTTATATGGAAGGTAGGCGTGGTTATCGTCCGATTTAGCCCATTTTCAATACCATCCGTTCTATGCTGAAAAGAAGTACACATACCAAGTTTCGTTCGGACGGACGGACGGACGGACCTACGCACACACAGACAGTCACCGCTTAATCGATTCCTTTTTTCATTCTGATCATTTATGTTTACATTTGTCTATATCTATCTCGACTCGTTTGGCCAGTTACAAACAGCCCTTATGTGAACAAAGCTATAATACCCTTATGCACAAGTGCGCTCGGGTATAAAAAAGTAATTTTTAAGCAAAAAATAAAAATTATTAAGCTAGCATTTCAGGATCATACTTTTGTATATTTAGGAAAAACTGTTAAGTTAGGGGGGCTCCATCCCCCCGCCCCTACTTGGCTACGCCCATATGTATGTGTATGCATCTTATAAATGAATTTTTGCAAAGTAATAAAAACTTACTACTGTATATATTTTACTCTTTCTCCTCTTCATTACATGCACGCACACAATCACACAATGCAATCAACATCAACAATCAACAACTGCAACAAACAAATAAACTACAACAACAATAACGATGACAACAACTTTATAAATTTGCCTAAACTGGCCACTCAAACAAATGCTTACGCACACACACACACACACACACACACACACAAACGCTAAAAAAAGGACGTGGAGAACTTTTCCACTTTGGCGCATGCAACGATCATCCTAGCAAATGTAATTCTTAAAACTGAGGAAATTTATTTAGTAAATCACATCAAACTTTATTTGAAAAACCATCCGGCGGTGGAGGAGCGTGAACTCAACAGAGTCCAACAGCAACAACTGCAACGACAGCAGCAACAGCAACAACGTACCGCACATTGGCTGGTAGACGGCCCATCGACATCTTCGGCAGCGGCGCGTGCAACCGCCACAGCCACAGCCGCAGCCTCAAGCTCCGGCCAAGCGTCGAGTGGCAGCATAAGTGAAATTAACTATTTCGCAAAAGTTTTATGCGAGAAGCTAGAAAATTGCCTCAACGTCGTTTCTGCGCCCACCACTTCTACTAGCTGCAACACCACCACCAACATCATCACTAGCGCCTGCGGCGATGTGGCCTACTATCAGCTGGCTAGCCGTTTCGTGGAAGCTTTGTATGACGTCTGCTGCCGTTCTCGCCACAAGGATGCGCTACAATCAGTTTTTCGTTTGGTGCTGGCCGAATCGGCACTGCTCGATAAGTACTGTAATTTCCTAACTGTAGAGCCGTGGCAAAAGGGCGACGAAGTGCGGCACGCGGACAACACAACTACGACAGGGCAGGAGTGTGTTTTGGGTGGTGGTAGTGGAGAACAGGCTATGCAGCTGCAGTTGCTAGTCTTGAAACTTTTGTCGGCCATGAAATTGTTAGATCCGGTGGTGATGTTGCAACTGCTAAAACAACAAATGCAAAACGTAAACCAAGAACAGCAGAGAAGGTATGCGGCGGCAACAAATAAAGAGCGACTGAAGTGGTGCGCCAACATGCAGAGGACACTTCTGAGTGAAATTTGCCAGCCAAATGTAAGTGGCAAGTTGGGACCGATGACAACTGTCGTCAGTGTGTAAGTGGGCGGGAATGTTGCGCTGAGTATGAGCAAGTGGGAGGTTGGATGATAAGTAAGCTTCACTGTGCGGGTGTGTAAGGATTCTAATATATGTAGACCATTAAATTAATTTGCATTTTCGAAAGTGTGCTGCTCTCCCCCTAACGTGAACGCTTGACTTTGTCATGAGTGGGCGGGAGTTTCAAAGTATGCACATATGCACTGGCAAATAAGTCTTCTTGTAGGCTCATGACTCAGCGAGGAATAACTGATTCAAATAAGTTTTAAACACTTCTGGGCGTAAAAGTTGTAATTTTGTGGCTTTTGCTTGTTATTTGCGCTCATTTGAAGCAAGCGGTAAGAGGCTGCATCGCGTACGACGATGGCACCGATGATATGACGACATGGTCGTGGAAAGGAAATTAAGAGATAAATTAGTTCCTCTGTCCACCATTGGGTTAACCATTTACACAGTTGTGACTATTATAACCAGATTGTTGATGGTTTAGGCAATAAACTTTTAGTTTAAACACATAAATGAATATGTATGTTAGGGCGGGCCAATTTTTTTGGGAGATTTTTTTCGATTTTAAGCGTAGAGCACAGGAGAATTCTGCGAGTAATTTTAAGCAAATTTGCCGAAAAAACCATGGATCTAAAAGCAACTTGGAGTTTGCCAAATTGCGAAAATAGGTTTCTTTTACTCAGCATTTTGCTGTAGTGTCGCAAAGAAGTGTTTAAATTTTGTACAAAAACATGCTACAAAAGGTTTTTGGTATGAATAATCCATTTCTGGACTTATCTTTTTCCTAAAACATCCGCCAGAGGGCGCAATAGGGAAAATTTAAAATTTTTTTTATGTGACCCGCCCTAATATGTGTCGATTATGCTACTTCTCGATGTTTATTTTCCATGCAAATCAAGTTTATCTCTAAATCGAGGTACTATCCCTGAAGAAGACGTGGGCTTATCTCTTGTAAATAACCTTTTGACAAAATTAGAATCAAATCGAAGGTTTGAAACATTTTTTTTACTTTACGACATCCGCCTGTTTTTAATAATATACTACTCGTTAAGGTCAAAAAGTGGGAAAAATACCTTACATATGCAAATGTGTGTGTGTGTAAAAATGCTGCACTTCAAACCATTTAATAGTCGTGACTTCTATGCAGTCACATAGAAAACTATTTTAATTAAGTCCAAAAACTACACTTTAAATGCTTTATGAGGCAATCATCGTCTACGAGGGCGACTATGTGAATCACTACTTCCGCACGGTCCGGCGCGCTCATTTGCTGCATTACTTTCCAAGGTGGGTGCGGCATGTGATACGAGATCTCGCGCCGTGCTTAGGCAGCGAAAATTTGCAAAAATTTGCTGACATCTCAGCGCCATGTTCGCCCGTGTATATTGTAATCCAACGCGAATTTTAGCTTTTAATTTCCTCAAGCTCATTCTGCTCCAATTAGTGCACTCGCCACGCAGAAGATATTTGCATTCGTACACTAATTTGCGCATACGATTTTTTTTTCGCCTTCTCATTCAATTTGTGGTCTAATAATTATTTTCAACTCACCACTCCCCCCTCTCTTTACGCTCTCCCCTCGCTACTAAATAGCCAAATGCGCGCGACTGGACGACGCAACAAGTGCGGCAACTGTTGGATGCAGGCGGAGCTGAAGTTGTGAATTTCCTAATTACAGAAAATTTCGAGTTCGTCAGCGATTTGTGCGAAGTGGCAGCAACAGAGGCAGACGCGTCTTCGTCCACACAGGCACCAGAGAAAGTAGCTGGCAAGTTGGGTGCCTTCTGGTTGAATGCGTTGCTGCAACATGCGAATGCGCTCAACAAGGTTTGTGTAGTAGTGGTACTTAACGGTTTATTACGATTTATTTTTTTAAATTTATTAAATGTTGGTATTTTACAATTTATTGCGCGCTATTGTTGTCGTTTTTCTCTCATACTTTTTTATATATTTTTTCTTGATTTATTTTTGTTTCGCAGCATACAATACGCGCACTTCCACCTTTGCTGCTGCGCTTAGCCAATGCAACAGTTAGTGCGGGCGCCACAAGGGGTTGCAATCTGGAATTAACGCTACTTAGCTTGCAGTTGCTGCATTGTCTACACACACGCCACGGCAATTTGCGCGCGTTGCAGGTGCGGTTGGAGCGGCTGGCGCGGCGACTTGTGTTTAATTGCAGCTCGTCGTCGCCTCTCAACTCAAGGCAGCAGCTGCTGAAGCACTTGTCGGAATTAGCTGGGGATCAGTTGGCAACAGAAGCGGAAAGCTCATCAACTTTGTTGTAAGTTCTTGCCCCAGTGTAGTCTATATTGAAATACACAATACTTGCAATCATTAGTCAATACTTAGAATTTCATGATTTTCTTATTTATTATTTCTTAATATTTTTCTATATTCTCTTTTGGCTTAATCATCTGTTGCATGTACTTTCCCTGCACTTGTTGTCGAATGATACTGAGCAGCTGGCGGCAGTTGTTGTTGGATACTCAAGAATGCAAACTGGATGCTCAGACCGTAGCAGAGCAGCAAAGGCAACAGCAGCGCATTATCGACGAGAAGTGGCTCTTGAGTCAGGTGAGTCTATCTTTGGCGTACTCGAGCGCTATGCAGTACTTGTTCACCGCCGCTTTGTTGCCTTCTTTCTTACATACATACATACATGCAACGGTACGATACTTTTGTCTTCCTCAAGCACTGATGAGTTGAAATCATTCACTTGGCGTGTTCGTATCCACTGTTGTGTACATTTAATTTTTTTTTTCCACGGTAATTGCTCACTATTAGTTGCATTACAGTTTTCTCGAGTTTTGAGCGATTTTCTGAAGTGCATCCATTTTACTTTTTGCGTGTATTGTATTTCAGTTGAGCAGCATCCACTGTTATTTGCCAATTATTTGATTGATTATGCTACGCAGATTTTTTAATAGCCCTTGATTCCTGCTTTTTGTTGAGGCTATTTGCATACTTTTAGTTGCGAGCAATCATGTTTCGAATATTTTTGTTGGGATTTTTTTTTAATTTTTCAATTAACCCAACTAGATTTTTTATTAAACCTAAGCGAAATAGGCGGCATGCCTGCAACTGAATGCAATTATCAAAGTGCTTAACCAAATTGCTGATTCAATATTTGATGCAAATAATTTCATGTTTTTGCATTTAAAGAGTACAATTCCAATTCAAGTGCTAAAACAAAACCAAAAAAAAAATATTCTCGCATAATTGCTCTGTTCATTCGAAATCAAATTATAATTCGTTTGTTTATTTTATAAAATTTTGAGCGGAAAATACAAAAGTATTTAATAAATTTTTCACTATGAAATACATTTTACTAAAGTTTGCTAAAACTTATTTATGCCGATTTGATATTATAAATTGGAATTCTCTCTACAACGTTGTTTTTTTTTTACATACATGATTGATTTTTAAGTACAACACGCTAAATTGTTTGGGAAGTCCAAATTAAATTGGCGGGTAGGTTGGAATGGTTGGATAGCAGACCCTCCCCACACTTAGGCCACACCATAGACACGTGATGTTGCCCATATTCCCATATTTTTTTTTGCAAAAATTGTATCAAACGTTTACTAGAAATATTAGTCGTTTACACAAAATAATTATATATTTGGGCAATGTTTTTACATCTTCTTATATATAAAAAGGCCGTGTTTCCTTTTTGTGGGATGATGTCCATGAAGAGCAAACTCTCATGAGTATTACTATCAGCGTTGCCAGATATGGTCTTTTCCGTCCAAAATTGGTCGGTTTACTTTGGTCGGTTTATAAATAAATAAAAAAATATATAAATTTATATGAGTACCGAATTTTCTTCCATCATAGTATGGAGCAATTTGTTTTTGTATGGAAAAAAAATATCCACAAAAAAAAAATTATCAAAAATCAAAAAAAAAGAATTTAATGGTCTATAAAAATGCATACTTCGAATTTTTCTAAAAACTCTTAACAAAAATTTTGTTGATTTTCTCTAATTTTTCTACGAAGTTTAAAATTTGAGCTTATAGGTTTTGGTTAGATAATGAGCTGTATTTTTAAAAAAAGGTAATAAACATTAAAGAAACAAAAGAAAAATATCTAAAAGTGGTCCCAATGTTGTGTCCCTATTAATTTCCACATGACTGTAAATTTATAATAAAAAAGACGAACACTCTGCACCTTTATACATATTTACTTGCCCTTGTGTAAATCTAATATAATGCTTATGAAGCAGCGCAAACACGATATATACAGTTTTCTAATACGGCATTTCCACTACAGCTTCATTGCTAATGCTGTGCCGAATCACTTAATTCGCCTTAACACTTCGCTTAAACAACGATGAACCGTCAAATCTGGACAATTCCCGAAATTAATAGGAAATCGAACAACTTAATTGGCAGTGCTCGTAGCAACTTACTAGTAAAGAGTGCATTAAGTGTTTTATGTGGAACGAAGAAAGCGTATCAAAGTCGAAGTTTTGGACACATGACTACACAAAATTTGTCACAAATTAACTAAATAGCCGCGCACCATGCGTGTGTACAGTTACTGAAAGGATTATAAACTGTGAATTTTTACAAATGAGATTTTTCAAATTAATTAAATGAGAAATTTGTATTCTTCATCTCGGCAGTTGCCATTGGTTTTGATCGGAATTTTGGGCGGAAATTTTTTTTCTAGTGGCAACCCTGACTACTATACTGGCACAGTAGTATTCACGACGCTGCACCTGTGTACTAAAACCTCTCCAAAAATCACTCCAGCGGCCCTGCCATTCAGGGTATTATCTCACGGGGCGGATTGGCCAATTTGCTTGCTACGTTATTTATTCGTTAGAATTCGAGTGATGCCAGTTCTCCTGATGAGTTCGTCGAATTTCAAGAACAAAATGTAAAAAGGAAAGGACGTCGCCTATTGCATAGCATACTGGTCATCACCCCCGTTCATCGCTGTCGCAAAATTTTTCCGCTTTTTAACAGCAATGCAGAATTATTGTGATTGCAATTTCCTCACTTGTTACCTCTTTTGTCTTGACTTTCCTTCTTTCAATTCTTCGGTGCAAAATTTTCACTTTCCTTTTGTTTTCTCTTTTAACTGCCTATTTACAGTTAATTAAATTCTCCGCACAATCAGACTATGGCGCCCAACAACTTTCGCGCATTTTGCTGGAAATACATTCCGAGCAAAAGCTCTACATGATATTCAACAGCAGTGAGTTCGCAGTGGCGCGTGTGCTGCGGCATGCAATCGCCAGCTCAATGCAGGCAATGTTGGCTGCCTTCCGCAACAATTGCACCCAACATAATCCGCACATTCACTACATGCAACCGAATCCATTAGTGCGCGTTACCTGCAACATCTTGATGGCAAGCATTAGCGCGGAAATTGCCGCAGACAGCCGAGGTAAACTACAAGCAACACTAATGGTGCCTACGATTGTTATACCCGCGAGCACAACTGCTTCGTTGGAGGGGCCGACAATCGAAACCGAGTGGCGCACGGCAAGCATTGGTGGACTTCACCTATGCCACGCTGTTATTACGCTACTGACGCAAATAAAGCTGATAGAGGATACCGCGTTGCTTTACATAGAGTCGAAATTCATCGATAAGTTTGTACGCGACCAGCTCTTGCGCCCAGAACATGTGGCAACTCTGTTACGCTTCTTAGATTGGTGTTGCAGGCAAGCGCAGCAACTGCTGAAACAACAGCAGCATCAGCACCACCACCACAGTGAACAACAAAATGCAGTTACCTTGCTGCAGTGCATTGCAGCAATGCTACAACAGCGCTTCATATGGATGGAACTTAATCAAATGGAAAAGTCAACTGCCGCATCCGCAGCAACAACAATGCCAGCACAAAACTCTGGCTTTGCCGGTGGCCTATTATCGCCTCAACAACGCAATTTGTTGCTATGCCGTGCATTGGACGTCTTGGTGCTGGCTGCCAGGCAGACGCTGCAACACACAATCTTCTATAAGCATTACAAGCAACAGGCGGCAGCTGTAGTTGGCAAAGGAGGCAGCGATGGCGAAGAGCACCGTGCCGTCGAAACGCAAGATATCTTCAATACATTGGGCGTAGCAGCTGCGGTAGACGAGTTGGAAGACACTTTGCAGGCTAACAACGAAATTGAAGCGAATGAAGTTGCTGTTGGAAGGCTGTTGCAAGCCTACGCCCCACAGGCGATTTTCATTGCAAAATTGATCGAGGTGCGCACCGATGAGTCAACTAGTAGCGGAGAATCTATCTCGGCTGCCTACCTTACTGGTGGTACAGACAAAAACGGCGCGCTTGGCACTGCAGGCGGCGCGTTAAGCGGTGGTGCCGGCAGCAGCTTGGCGACGGGCGGTACAGGTACGAGTGGCGGTGGAGCGTGGACTGGCGCCCAAGCTGAGTTTGAAAAATATAGCGGTGGTGTGAATGGCGTACAAGTGCCGATGGTAAGTTAGTGAAACTGGCAAAAGTACAGGCTGTTATTTTACATTTACGCTTTGGGTTTTTTTGCTTTTACGAACTTTTCAGCATATTTTGGTGGCTATTGGCATCGCGTTGCTACGCACGAACCAATTCTACGCCTATGCAGTAACACCTTTCGAGATAATACAGCAACAACAAAGAGAACAACGCATTGAACAGTTATCGCCAACCAAACGCGCTGGACAATCGTCACCAACGACGGCTTCAGCGGCAGCGGCTGCAGCAGCCTCGAGTGGTAAATTGCCAACAATACCCGTGGAGAGTTTAAGCGATGTGGATGTATTACGCAAATTTGTTAAGAGGTGAGTTACAAATTTGAATACTTTTAACACCGCCAAGGTACATGCGACTGTTTTGATCGATGGCTATATTATAAAAACATGGAAATCATCCAACATTAATTTTTTTATTTTTTTTTTAAATAAGAACATTAAGGGCTGGTTTCTCCAAATTTAGTTTAGCCATTTTTTGGACCTAAGTCAAAAGCTAGCCTACTTTTACACCGCTTATACTGGACCAAGTCTAAAAAATTGGCTAAACTACTTAAGTTAAGTTGAGTTGGAGAAACCTGTCCTAACTGTTTTTTGGCTTAACTACGCACCACAAATTTCAAATTAAAAAGGGAGAAAAAATATGAAATCTTATACACTTTAGGATGTGTGAAGGATTGCTTACAGTTCGAGTGTGTTATCTTCTTAAAGTTGCCACCTTTTAAGTTTAAAAGTAAACCAAAGTAAATCATTTTTAAATATCAAAGTCCTTTAAAAATCCTGACGTCAGAGAGAAAGACTAAGTACGCAGTTTTACTATAATTTACCCATAGTTTCGCGGATATATTAATTTTTTGTGTGTGTAAAATCTACTGTCGCACAGTGTTATCAGATAAATAACCGAAGTCTGAAGCTTGCATATTGCAGCAATTTGTAATACATACCCTATCCCTAGTCTAATAGCGTTTTCTTTTCTCTAACAAAGTTCTGCCTTTTTATATGGGAACTCTTGCTTTGCATTGCCCTGAAACCTGAGAAACTGTGAAACTGTGTCTTTGGATTCGTTTTCATATCCGTCTTCACTATCGTAAATGTATTCGCCTTCGTTATCGTTTTCTTATTCATCTTCGTTTTCCAATTCGTCTGCGTGTTACTGCTGTTCGTATTACTTTTCGCATTCATATTCGTATTCGTATATGCGATCGTGTTCTTATTACTCCTTTCGTATTCGTATTAAGCCTCGTCCACTTAATAGTCTTCCCATTCGTTTTCGTAATCATCTCCGTAATTGTCCTCGAATTCGTGATTGTATTCGTCTTCATAGTCGTTTTGATATTCGTGTTAGTCGTCGTACCCGTATACGTATCGTGGTCTTCGTATTCGTGATCGTGTTCGTACTCGTCCTACTGTCTTCGTATTCTTGTTCGTCTTGTTCTTCTTATTAATCTTCGTGTCTGGAATCATCTTCTCGCTCGTAATCGTGTTCGTGTTTATGTCTTCGAAACAAATTACAATACGAAGAACCGACCAATTTTGGAACCATAAAAATTTTCGTCATCTACAAAGAAACTCCTTTCGAATGGTGTTTCAGATCTCAAAATCGATCCAGTAAGACCGCCAGCACAGACGGACAAAATTCACAAATTATCATTCGCTCTGCGATGACAAATGCTGCTAGTATCACACAGTTAAATGTTGGAAATAAAGACAGAAATAAGCCAGAAGTGCAGTACGTTAAACTGAGTAATAGATTTGGAGCATAGAATTTGCCACAATAAGTTGCCAATTTCATGCCACCAACACCAGTTAGCACATGCAACCAAATAATATTGCAACAAACAGAGGAAAATGCAGAAAACAAGTACATACATAT